ATCTAACTGTTGCACGTCTCTGGTATCTAACTGTTGCACGTCTGTTGCATGTGTATCTAGCTGTATGCACTAGCTGTTGCACTGGTATCTAGCTGTTGCACGTCTCTGGTACCTATAGCTGTTGCATGTCTCTGGTACCTAGATGTTGCACGTGTCTGGTACCTAGCTGTTGCATGTCTCGGGTATATATAGCTGTTGCATGTCTCTGGCACCTAGCTTTTGCACGTCTGTGGTACCTAGCTGTTGCACGTCTCTGGTACCTAGCTGTTGCATGTCTCTGGTACCTAGCTGTTACACGTCTCTGGTACCTAGCTGTTGCATGTCTCTGGTACCTAGCTGTTACACGTCTCTGGTACCTAGCTGTTGCATGTCTCTGGTACCAGCTGTTGCACGTCTGTGGTACCTAGCTGTTGCACGTCTCTGGTACCTAGCTGTTGCACGTCTGTGGTACCTAGTTGTTGCACGTCTGTGGTACCTAGCTGTTGTATGTCTCTGGTACCAGCTGTTACACGTCTCTGGTACCTATAGCTGTTGCATGTCTCGGTACCTAGCTGTTGCATGTGTCTGGTACCTAGCTGTTGCATGTCTGGCTGTTGCACGTCTCTGGTACCTAGCTGTTGCAGTAGCTGTTGCATGTCTCTGGGTGCAGCTGTTGCATGTGTCTGGTACCTAGCTGTTACACCTAGTTGTTGCATGGTCTGGTACTTGTTGCACGTCTGTGGTACCAGCTGTTTCTTGGCTAGCTGTTGCACGTCTCTGGTACCTATAGCTGTTGCACGTCTCTGGTACCTAGCTGTTGCACGTCTCTGGTACCTAGTTGCACGTCTCTGCATGCGCCGTCTCTGGTAGCCTGCATGTCTCTGGTTACTGCACGTCTGTGGTACAGTACCTAGCTGTTGCATGGTACCTAGCTGTTGCACGTCTGTGGATACTGGTACCCAGCTGTTGCACTGGTACCTCTGCTGGCCTGGTAACTACAGTACCTAGTTGTTGCACGTCTCCTAGCTGTTGCACGTCTCTGGTACCTAGCTGATGCACGTCTCTGGTACCTAGCTGTTGCACGTCTTGCATCTGCGTCTCCTGGTACCTAGCTGTTGCACGTCTGTGGTACCTAGCTGTTGCACGTCTCTGGTACCTAGCTGTTGCACGTCTCTGGTACCTAGCTGTTGCACGTCTCTGGTACCTATAGCTGTTGCATGTCTCTGGTACCTAGCTGCTACACGTCTGTGGTACCTAGCTGTTGCACGTCTCTGGTACCTAGCTGTTGCACGTCTCTGGTACCTAGCTGTTGCACGTCTCTGGTACCTAGCTGATGCACGTCTCTGGTACCTGAGTCACTATAGCTGTTCAAATTTGTTTATGCTCTCAAGTACATTATTTTTAGCACTTCAAGTTATTATAAAAGTGTCAGGTTTGCTTATACCGAAATAACAGTAAAAAGTGTACGTGAGTGACATGCAGAGGCAGAGGAGAAGGCGATATGCATGTAACGCTTCTCCTAACCCACCCAGTCCACCCCCGGCCTCTGCCAGGACCTGTGACTTGTGTACAGAGGGAGAGGAGTATTACTGGGTCCAAAACCTGTGGATGATTGTTGTAAACACGAGTGTGTGGAAGAGTGAATGGCAACACTTGTGTCGTCTGCACTAGATACGGTTTTACCCGGTACCTTATAGTTTCGCCGGATATTCACTCGGGAGGTGATACTCGTCTAGAAATATCAACAACGTGTTAAATATTATTCAGCATTCCTTGCTTTTCTTTATAATTCCTTATTTTCACTATTAAAAACAAGGGTGTACGTATAAGCAAACATGCTACGTGGGGAACTTCAGGTGCTGAGTATTGATTTGTTGCGGAAGCGACAACGCCCTTTGTTTTGAGCCCGCTCATTGGCTGTAGGGTCGCACACACCTCCAGCAGTCCCCCTTCTCCACCAATCCTGGCGCCGCACACAGTGGGTTGAAGGGTACGTTCCACATTTGATATATTGTTTACTCTAAAATCATCACATAAGTATCTAATTGTAATATATTTAAAACTTTTTTAGGGTCATCTGGAGAGAAGTTATGGAGATATACATTTGTTATGAGGGAAATAGTGAATCATGTGTCAGTAATGTTGCGTGGCGGAGTGCGAGGGTGTGGGGGTGTGACGTCAGGGAAGGTGACCGGAGGGAGGAGCAGCAGGCAGTGTGCGCGTGGCTGGTGAAGCAGTAGACAGTCCCCCCACCGCCCGCCTCCACTTATTCAAGTGGGACTTGCCTCAAACCTCAACCGGCCCAGTCGATAAAACCCCCCACCGACCCAGCATGGAGATAGTCGCTGCGGCGGATAGTGACGAGAGAGGACTGTCGCTCCTCAAGGTTGTTAGCGTACTGCAGAAAGTAGTCGTGTTTATTCACACTTTCACGGCTGACAAGTTTAAAGGTCATCTGACGAAAGCAACTGAACATTCTGGAGAGATGCCGGATATGTGTGAGGAAGATATTGTCGTTAAGGTAGGCCAACCGCTCGTGATATGTACTGTACTCCACACTGACTCACTGTTACGCTAGCCCAGTCATCAAACATGGGTTCTTAATGACAATGTCTTAGTTTTAGTAATATGATTATTTAATTGCTTCAACATATTTCTCAGTTGCCAAATGGCAGTTGGACAGTGATACACTTAACCTGTGATATATTAACTTTGCTTAATTTAACGTGTTAATTTGTGCATTACTGTACGTAACGTAAATTATGATAATTTATATTTGTTCAAGTTTGCATGTGTTAATGTTGTAAGTTGGTAAATAATAACAGCGCGAAAGATTAAGAGAATTAAAAACCAAGTTTGTGAATATTTGTCCAAGAAAAGATAGGTGACCTTATGATGGCTGTAGGGGGCGTGTACGTAATCAACTAAAGCTTCAGGTGTCACTATGAACACTTGTATTGCGTCACGGTGACTGTGAGAGTAAAGTGGCGCTTAACTTACCCTTGCCACCTCCCGACTATTCGCTCTCGACTTGTGCGTCTTGGCACCCCTGCTTGGCCCAGTGCCAAGCAGTTCACGGTTTCCCACAAAAGTCTCACGTACCGGTATTACTTGTGACGGCATCGGCTTATACCGGTTACCTTTCTTTTGTCACTTTCACCAGAAATATTTAATGGAAATGTATCACAGCTCAGACATAATAAAGATAACTAAACGTGACAACAGCTTCATTTATCTTGTATTTTCGTTTAGCTATCCGGCTTCCAGTGCTTGAGTGACTTAGATCGATAGAAAGCAGATAACGCTGTGCAGTTGATGTTCCTGGATGTATACCCTGGTTATCTTACTTACATATTGATGACTTACGCCAGGGTGAATATAGTCTGTCTGTCTGTCTATTAGTTTATTGTTGAGTAAATATGATAATACGTTGTTTGTGTGTGAAGTGTGTTAAAAAAGGGTGTGTGTGTACAGATAGTGAGTTAGGTATGTGTGTGTGTGTGTTAAACCGAGTGTGTACAAAATCCCCAAAATAGTTGAGGTTTAACCATTGTTTATTTTTAGTGTAATGTATGTACCTCATCAATAATCCTATTATCATAGTCCAAAAAGATTATTAGACCCAGGTTTTTGTTCAAGGGATGATGGCTATAAGGTTTACAATGGGTAATGAAGATAATACGAACAGTGTTGAGACATATTTTCTAAGAAGGTATTTAAGGTATTTTATAATAGTAAGTGCTCACTACGCAGGGTTAAATACACTTCCAACACGTTTTATCATTCCATGGCTGATGTTCCAACCTTCAGACGACTTGAGGTTCAGGAAGCTTTCACTTGTCGCAACAATGGTAGAAGAAATTTTATCAAAAAAATAAAATAAAAATCAAGGCTGAGTGGTAGTGTTGACAGTATTCCCTGCAGTATTAGGTTGCTTGTGATGGCTACATACCTTGATAGAATGCTTGTAAGGTTACTTGTGGCCACAGAGTTTGATAGAACATTTGTAAGGTGACTGTGATGGCCACGTAGCTTGGTAGAACACTTGTAGGGTTACTTTTGAGGTTTATATTTGGTAGTTATTATGATAATGTTAATTTGACTCAGGGAGGTATTAAATGTTACACCTTGTTGATCACTGACCTGAGCCTACCTCAGTGACCCCTGGTTGATGTCAGGTCAAATACCGCTAAATCACTGTGGGTGCGCGTGATCCAGGTATATGCTGATAACCACAAGGTATTTTTGCGTTATATCCCCGTTAAACAACTAACGGCAACTAACTCCCATTAAGTTATAGGTATAGTGACAAAAAAATAATAATTTTGGGGGTAAAAAACGTCGATACTTTGAAATGACAAAGGTCATCTGAAAGTGACTCAAGTCAAAAGGTCACTCAACCGATATTTATTGGAAATGAAAAAGGAGGAATTTGATTATTTATAGCCATCCAATAGTGAAGCGTACAACGAGTACAGTACTGTTATGTGGTATAGTACTGTTATGTGGTACAGTACTGTTGTGGTACAATACTGTGCAATGTGGTACATTACTGTATTACGTGGTACAATACTGTTGTGGTACAGTACTGTTATGTGGTACAGTACTGTGTTATGTGGTACAGTACTGTGTTATGTGGTACAATACTGTGTTAGGTGGTACAGTACTGTGTTATGTGGTACAATACTGTATTAGGTGGTACAGTACTGTGTTATGTGGTACAGTACTGTGTTATGTGGTACAGTACTGTGTTATGTGGTACAGTACTGTGTTATGTGGTACAGTACTGTGTTATGTGGTACAGTACTGTGTTATGTGGTACAGTACTGCGTTATGTGGTACAATACTGTGTTATGTGGTACAGTACTGTGTTATGCGGTACAGTACTGTGTTATGCGGTACAGTACTGTGTTATGTGGTACAGTGCTGTGTTATGTGGTACAATACTGTGTTATGTGGTACAGTACTGTGTTATGTGGTACAGTACTGTGTTATGTGGTACAATACTGTGTTATGTGGTACAGTACTGTGTTATGTGGTACAATACTGTGTTATGTGGTACAGTACTGTGTTATGTGGTACAGTACTGTGTTATGTGGTACAGTACTGTGTTATGTGGTACAGTACTGTATTAGGTGGTACAGTACTGTGTTATGTGGTACAATACTGTGTTATGTGGTACAGTACTGTGTTAGGTGGTACAGTACTGTGTTATGTGGTACAATACTGTGTTATGTGGTACAGTACTGTATTATGTGGTACAGTACTGTGTTATGTGGTACAGTACTGTGTTATGTGGTACAGTACTGTGTTATGTGGTACAGTACTGTATTAGGTGGTACAGTACTGTGTTATGTGGTACAGTACTGCGGTATAATAATTTACAATACTGTGTTATGGTACAATACTGTGGTATGCAGTACAGTACATGGTTATGCAGTACAGTACTGTGTTGTAATAAGTACAGTACTGTGTTAGCATGTGGTACAGTGCTGTGTTATGTGAGTACAATACTGTGTTATGTGGTACAGTACTGTGTTATGTGGTACAGTACTGTGTTATGTGGTACAGTACTGTGTTAGGTGGTACAGTACTGTGTTATGTGGTACAGTACTGTGCTATGTGGTACAGTACTGTGTTATGTGGTACAGTACTGTGTTAGGTGGTACAGTACTGTGTTAGGTGGTACAGTACTGTGTTATGTGGTACAGTACTGTGCTATGTGGTACAGTACTGTGTTATGTGGTACAGTACTGTGTTATGTGGTACACTACTGTGTTAGGTGGTACAGTACTGTGTTATGTGGTACAATACTGTGTTATGTGGTACAGTACTGTATTAGGTGGTACAGTACTGTTTTATGTGGTACAGTACTGTGTTATGTGGTACAATACTGTGTTATGTGGTACAGTACTGTATTAGGTGGTACAGTACTGTGCTATGTGGTATAATACTGTGTTATGTGGTACAGTACTGTGTTATGTGGTACAGTACTGTATTAGGTGGTACAGTACTGTGTTATGTGGTACAGTACTGTATTAGGTGGTACAGTACTGTGTTATGTGGTACAGTACTGTATTAGGTGGTACAGTACTGTGTTATGTGGTACAGTACTGTGTTATGTGGTACAGTACTGTGTTAGGTGGTACAGTACTGTGTTATGTGGTACAGTACTGTGCTATGTGGTACAGTACTGTGTTATGTGGTACAGTACTGTGTTAGGTGGTACAGTACTGTGTTAGGTGGTACAGTACTGTGTTATGTGGTACAGTACTGTGTTAGGTGGTACAGTACTGTGTTATGTGGTACAATACTGTGTTATGTGGTACAATACTGTGTTATGTGGTACAATACTGTGTTATGTGGTACAGTACTGTGTTATGTGGTACAATACTGTGTTATGTGGTACAATACTGTGTTATGTGGTACAGTACTGTGTTATGTGGTACAGTACTGTGTTATGTGGTACAATACTGTGTTAGGTGGTACAGTACTGTATTATGTGGTACAGTACTGTGTTAGGTGGTACAGTACTGTGTTATGTGGTACAGTACTGTGTTAGGTGGTACAATACTGTGTTATGTGGTACAATACTGTGTTATGTGGTACAGTACTGTATTATGTGGTACAGTACTGTGTTATGTGGTACAGTACTGTGTTAGGTGGTACAATACTGTGTTATGTGGTACAATACTGTGTTAGGTGGTACAGTACTGTATTATGTGGTACAGTACTGTGTTATGTGGTACAGTACTGTGTTATGTGGTACAGTACTGTGTTATGTGGTACAGTACTGTGTTATGTGGTACAGTACTGTATTAGGTGGTACAGTACTGTGTTATGTGGTACAATACTGTGTTATGGTACAGATTTTGTGTTATAATGGTACAGTGCACTGTGACAGGTGGTATTTCAATTACTGTGCTATGTGGTACAGTACTGTGCTACATGTGGTATAATACTGTGTTATGTGGTACAGTGCTGTGTTGTGGTACAGTATTGTATTAGGTGGTGAGTACTGTGCTATGTGGTACAGTACTGTGCTATATCAAGTACAGTACTGTGTTATGTGGTACAATACTGTAGGTGGTACAATTACTGTGTTATGTAATTACAGTACTGTGTTGTAATTACAATACTGTGTTAGGTGGTACAGTACTATTATGAATTTTAATACTGTGTTATGTGGTTTTAAGTACTGTGTTATAATGGTACAATACTGTGTTATGGTACAATACTGTGTTATGTGGTACAATACTGTGTTATGTGGTACAGTACTGTGTTACGTGGTACAGTACTGTGTTATGTGGTACAATACTGTATTAGGTGGTACAGTACTGTGTTATGTGGTACAATACTGTATTAGGTGGTACAGTACTGTGTTATGTGGTACAATACTGTGTTATGTGGTACAGTACTGTGTTATGTGGTACAATACTGTGTTATGTGGTACAATACTGTGTTATGTGGTACAATACTGTGTTATGTGGTACAGTACTGTGTTATGTGGTACAGTACTGT